TGGTCGAATTAATTTTTGGGGTTTTAGATAGAAGGATGACATTTTTTCGTGAATTTTTATATAAGCAAAAATTGAGGTAATTTGGTCGTATTAATTTTGGGCGGTTTAGATAGCGAGCTAAAATTTTGTTTGAATTTTTATATACGCAAAAATTGAGGTAATTTGATCGAATTAATTTTTGGGGGTTTAGATAGAAGGATGACATTTTTTTGTGAATTTTTATATAAGGAAATGTTGAGGTAATTTGGTCGAATTAATTTTTGGGGTTTTAGATAGAAGGATGACATTTTTTTGTGAATTTTTATATAAGGAAAAATTGAGGTAATTTGGTCGTATTAATTTTGGGCGGTTTAGATAGCGAGCTAAAATTTTGTTTGAATTTTTATATAAGCAAAAATTGAGGTAATTTGGTCGTATTAATGTTTGGGCGGTTTAGAAGAAAGAATGAGATTTTTTGTGAATTTTTATACGAGTGAATATTAAGGTAATCATTAAACGAGGTACTCGGAATGGCCAATTTTAGTCGTTTGTTTTTTTATCTGAGCACCACTGGCCCCTTACTTTCACGTCGTCCGGTGTTTCAGAAGGAGACTCGTTGAAGGAAGTTATAGCGAGAAAAAGGGTGAAAGAAGAAGGGGAATCGGTCATGCCTACCGGTTGACGTTTACCTTGAGCGATTTCTTACCGCCTTATTATATCCCCCTTTTTTCCCCACTTTTTCTTTCCTGTTCAACGGCGATCGCGGTACCCCTCGACTATAAAGTATCGTATCTACCTATCGCAAAAAAAAAAAGAGGAAAAATACAGCCGAGGGGCGTTTCGAAATTGCGTACAAGTATATTCCAAGGTCACGATTGCAATAGAATCGAAGACAGAAGACACGACAATTGTTTAAATTAATTCAGTTACAAGAAGCCCGCAAAATGTACCATTACTTACTGTCGAATACGATTCCCTTCCAAAAAAAATTTTATTTTAAACGATGATTAAACAACGACGCCATGTTAAGAATTTTTTCCAAAGGGATTATGCATAATTACCGGTGATTTGAAATCGAAACGAATACAATTCTATCCCGATTCACCGAATTTGACTCGCAAAATATACCATTACTTACTGTCGAATACGATTCCCTTCCAAAAAAAAAAATTTTTTTTAAACGATGATTAAATAACGACGCCATGTTGAGAATGTTTTCCAAGGGCGCCAAAATTGATTACGGTTCTGTCGATAATGCCCTCTCCGTTCGCCACCAGAGTGCAACGAACTGGATTCGCATGCAGGCATCGAGAACGTGTCTACTCGATTTTTACTGTTTATTGAACCTATCGTAGGTGGTGCGTCTCATTACAGCGGAGGAAATGATTGCAGATGAACGAGCAACTGCTAGTGGGTGGCTGCGATTGTGTCATTATTTCATTTATTTTCATAGATTTCGTCATACTATTTTCTAGTGTTTATTATAATATACTTTATAATTCTGTCTTTATAAATCTACCTTACTATCATAATTCTATCTAGATTCGTTTTCATCAACACTCAGTCCTTAAAATTAATTGTTCAAGTTCCTCGGTGAAAAGCTCTGTCGCCCATATATGGGTGACGTGGCGTTCAACGTGTTAAACTTGTCCATGTAATCCATGTAATTTGTGACTATTTTATTCGCATTGCCATTACCGCGCTCCTTATGAGAATCACCCCTAAAGTTTCGCCAATGTCGATGCTCGCCTTCCAACGATCCCACCTCGAATCTCGAATCGCAGTTCCCTCGTTTGAAGAACGAGTGCGTTTCTCTGTTCTGTTTCGAGCCTATCTAGTCTCGTTCGCGTTGTTAGTGCTCGTTTGGGAGGGAGGGGGGTGGTGACGGGAGGGAGTGCAGTCGCCGGCAGGTTTGCGAATACCAAAGGACGAAACCAGACGAAACCGGTCTCTCGAAATCGTCTAAGTCGAGGGGGGAGGGGCACGAAAGAACTTCGCGCCGGCGAAGAGCGAACAATTATTATTTTTAATAAAAAATAAAAATCCCCTCGCCCTTCTAAATATCTACGATTTCAATAAGAAATCGTTTCAACGACTCTTCCACCCAAGATGGCGTCTGGCTTATCGCGGTTGAAATTTATGCTCGCTTTCCGAATGCATAGAGTCATGCGAATCAATGCGCGGACACGCCTCGATCCCGGAGCGTGACATCAACATTACAATGAGCCACGATGAGTTAGCGTTCAGGAATTCGGTGGAGATAAAACAGGACTTTATAGCACGCTGGAGGGTCGAAATGCATCCCTCGGGTCCTTCGTGCTTTATCTACGAGTGTCCCGAAACGTTAACGACCGAAAAATCGAACGATCGAGAGAACGACTAAATATTTCTTGTTTCTAAAGAATTTTCCATTCTCTGATCAAATAATTCGTCCCTAGTTTTCATTCGTTTCCCAAATGAACTATAAATCATTTTCGTAACGCACGACCGGTCCTGCCGAGAATAATGTTGAATAATGGATTGTTTGGAGTTCGAAAAAGAAGAAGCACGAAAGTTCTGGCGAGGAATTGAATCGGTACAAAATACAGACGAATCGAACCGCGCCCAGGGGAGGACGAACAATGAGCGAACCGGAGTAGGGGGTTACGCATTCCTTCTATACGCGCACAAACGCATCGTGAATGCCCGTCGAACGCTCTTCGGGTTCGTTCCACCTCTGGAATACTGCCACGGAGCGCTCGTTGAACCGCAGACACTAATTTCCAGCGCTAATGAACCCCGGCGAGAAAAGCGCGGATTTCTTTTCACGATTCCTCGCGGCGTACGCTGCACCTCAGACGCGAGCGATTCGCGCGAAATGGATCGAAGAACGTTATTATATGCACGCGAAGAATTGCACCCGGAAGAGGTCAGTGGAATCGTCTAACGACGATGCATCTGAATGCGTTCCAGAAAACTGAGAAACTATGGACACGTTGAGGCCGGAAAGATATTTACTGAATGCAAGAGACATATAGGTGCAAACATTGTAATACGAACTGTACTTTTAATATCTTTTTATACTATTGCATACTGTGCGCATTTTGTAGTCTCTTGTACATTGAAATTTCCTATAAACCACGGTCTATTTATTAACGTTTGGAACGTAGGCGAACTCTGCTAAATAAAATAGAGTAGAAGTAGAGAATAAAAAATCGTAACAGAGGGCGATAAATAGCGGCAGAAACTCTAAGCAGCTCTTGCTGTTGAACTCTCGTATGGTAAAACATACGAACACGCGTGAGAGTGGAAACTACGTTGGTAACGTTACCACTAGTATCTGCTAGTATCCCTCAATGGTAACGTTACAACATCAGGTTATATGTTGCACTAATTTTATAGGTTACTTCCCCAGCAAAGGATAGTTTACAACTCTTACGATCCGAGAGTCTTTGTTTTCTTTCTTTTCCATTTCACATCTACATTTAGTTACTTTTTTATCGCGGCCCTCCTATAGCTTGGGTACCTCGGGATCGTTAAGCCCGTACTGTAGCTACAATTTTATCATAGCTACAGTCCCTGAGGGTGCCTTTATGGCTGGTGCAATTTTTTTTCTGAGGGCCCATAATTCTGTCAATACGGCCCTGGGTCCCAAAAATGTTATAACACCTTGAAAGGGGTGGTTCGGGAGGTGATTTCAAACAACCTTTTCCTTAGAGAAAATGTTGTCCGAGGCTTCGTCGAGGAGATATTAACAGAAAACCCCGACCAATCAGCGGTTACTCTATTGGCATGCTCGCGCTCTGATTGGTCAGTGTTTTCCGTTAATATCTACTCAACGAAGCCTCGGACAACATTTCCGCCAAGGAAAAAGTTGTTTCAAATCACACTCCGGACTACCCTCATCAAGAACTTCCAACAATTTTGGAACACCCTGTATATTGTCTATATACTCAAAGAATAGAAGCTACTTTCTCGACTTACCGAAGGGAGCCGACTGCTTCCGAAATTTCCCGAACTACCGAGTTCATGCATGCACTGCTCGTGCATCAGTGTGCGTTCATGTGCGTCTATTGCATGCAACGCTCCGCTAGATGGCACGTCAATGATATTTTCGTGACTAAATGCCAGATTGTACAATGCCCCGCCCAAATACAACTTGTTGTAACAGATTCCAGTGCATCAAGCGATGCGTGCATTTTCGAATGACTGCGTCGTTGCCTTAATGCTACCATCGGTGCGTCGCATACGATATTAATTATCAAGAATCGCATTGATAATCGAAACAAGGACGCAAAGGAGGATACGAATTACTCGAAGGTATGTACCGTATTAACATATATCGACTTCATTGACGCCTTCGAGAACCTCCGAATTCCTTCTCTCGAAAACTCGTTTCACAACTTGTAATTAGCTTCGGATTAATTGTATTATGACTAAAGGCATTAACGAATGTACAGTATAGTTATTATTAGCGTTGGTACGTAAGACTCGAGCGGTTTAAATATCCTCGATTCTGTAATGTTGATCTCACACGCCACGCCTTCGTTTTCTTAGTGTCTCTCCTCCAAGAAAATATTTCTCGGATTGTTCCATGAATTATATCATATATCTGACAGAGTCTGTCGTCATTATTACGTTATTTTCGAAGATGGTGCATGTAATCGTTAAATATTGACAATTTTTTCACACGATTTTGAAAGTTAAATAAAATTTTGTGTACTTTGAAAGAATTTGATCGGTTTGATTTTCTTCAGTTAATTTGTGAATCTATAAGCTTGTCAAAAAGTTCCATGTACTGAAGGGAAAACCGTCTTTGTCTTTTTCAGAAGAATCTCAGTCTAAAATTTATAAAATGTCCATTCTAGACGAGCGAGAGGACTACCTGAAGAATCCCTTTTTTGTCAAACACGAATACGGTGACTTTACGCCATTTTATATCACCGTAACCATCTGTTCTGTGCTATTCGCTGTCCTGTGCATTTTGAACATCGGATTCTGTTTCTGCTCTCGACATAAAAGTTATTGGCAGAATCGTCATACGGGTGAGTTTCTAAACAAAATTCATCTAAAAATATTGGTCTATCGCTTCAAACAAGCCTTTGTTTAATTGTCTTCCCTTTTTTCTGTTTAACCAGGAAATAGGTGGATTCAACCACTGTGGACGGTAATACCGCATAAAACGCCACCTCTAGATTTAAGCGAATTGGAGCCTGGGCGTACCTTCCAGCCAGAGACACGCGAGGTCTTGCAATATCACAACCCGAAATCGTATAAAACCTCACCGCAATCGCAAGAGTACATGGAGATGCAAAAACGTGAGAGTGAGATTTAATTAGATATTAACGAGCTAAAAGTAATTAGACGATAGATCTGATATTATACGTATTAACAAAAATAACAGAGCCTGAAAGTTATTAACGTCTAACTAGAACTATAGTTTCTGTTTCACTGTCATACAAACTGATACATTGTACAGCCAAAGTTAAGAGATAGTAGGTGTACAAAGTACAAAGGGTAAATTTTTGAAAATAGCTTAAGTAGAAAATTACGCCAAAATGGGACTGCACATATTTTGGCCAGCAACAACGTGCCTGACTCTTGTTGTGGTTTGCGTTATAATAGTTGTACTGAAATATGGATCGCGTATTTGCAAATTACGTCACACGGCATTGCCATCCGATCAGGAATGGGAGGGTAAAGCGTATTCTCGAAAACTCTCTGTCTCTATACCGTAAAAATAAGTAGTAATATCACCACGTGTTTTCAAAGATTCGTTTGCTTTATATCAAACTTTAAATCAAAACTATGCATTCTATATGACCACGTTTGCTCTATATCAGAGCACGACATTTTACATTTTTTAACTTTGATAAACAGAATTTAAGTGATTCGCTTGAATGCATATCAGAAACGTGATATCATTTCTCTCTAGTTTAACGGTAGTATAGCGGCATACCTTAAAAAATGAATGCTATATATCTGTATCTTTTATACGAAAATTTTTATATATTGTAAGTAATGCTAATAATTCCGTCCAATTATATAATCGTGACTTTTATTAAAATTTTATAATACGATTTACGAAAGAATTGTATCCGTCCCAGTTTCTGATATTTAATATTTTTCGTGTAATGGCAATTGTATCGATTACACAGAAACTTTTGTAACTTTTATATGCGTTCTTTTGACAAATAAAAGATGCTTGCCTTTGCGTAAAACGCGTACTTACTTCACGAGTAACCCTGGCAGGTGTCTATCATAGATGATAGGTAGGATATCAGAGGTGATCGTTGTTTTTATGTATAATATTTAGTTTTTCTTATTGACAACATTGGATTTTTATTACATGTGTAACGGTTACACAATTATTTAATAAGTAGATACATTATACAATTTCTGCATTCAGTTATAACATCAGCTTGTAAATAAATCACTGACGATTTCCCACGAACTACGAGAGATATTTGATTTAAGAAATGTTAAATTTGATTCGATTGCCTAAGCAACTAAAACCTCAGCGTACTTTCTACCCGACGCATCGTTTCCCCCGGAAGCCATTCCACGTTTAACCAACGCCATCGCGCGTTTTCATCTGCCGTAAGAACTTCGTCCAACGTGACCGATTAAACCAACAAAAAAAAAAAGAAAAAAAAACGCTCAACAAAATCCTTCCTCGCGTATGATTCTATGCCACTAACGAGTTTGAACTATCGACATGGTCATTGATTAAAAATCTCCAATGGCGCGATCAAGAGACTCACGCATCCACCGTTGCAAAGGCTTTTTTGATTACGTTTCGCGAGCACAGCGACAGATTAACTTTGAAAAACAAGTAAAACAAGCTTCTTCCTTCACCGTGAAATCTTTCGAGGATTCCGATTTGTTCAGACATAATTTTTTCATGGAAAGACACCTTGAAATCCGACAATTTCGCGGCGAATTTTTTTCTAATTTTTTTTTATTAAACAACAAATCGGAACCCTACTTTGAGAAGGTAATTAACCTCTAATTAGTAGCGTATTTCTTCTATCGATTCTGCTATGTTACAATGCAGTTAAAACACGGATAACCTCGATCGAGTTCCACACAGAGATGTGAAGCAGTGTTAATAATTACGTTTAGTAGACGTTTAATGACAGTAATTAGAAGAGACCATAGAACGTAGACAATGCTATCCTTACCCTATATCGATAGATTCGTTTATTTTATTTTTCTTCCCTTCGTTTTATGCGTAATGATGATATGCTGTATATACGTAATCTAGCTACGATCATCGGCACCGACCAACGCCACCATCGAATCCGTATAATCAACGTTTCGGTCGAGTATACGAACTTATCGTGTGCACCCCGGTATTATAACCTGAATCAGCTGACTTTATTCAACGAATTACTTTTGTTTGTATACATCTAGACTTAAAAACAAATACAATCTTGTATCTGGGGGGAAAGGTTTGATTTCTATAGTTTCAATGAAACGTCTCGTAGGGACGAGTTCCAATCGTTCGATCGTTCGTTACGGAAGTGATGCAAGTTTCGTTTATTTTTATTCAACGAATGTATGTTTGTTGTCATTAACGTAAGAACTATCCTTAATAATTCTAACAACTATTGCTTAATCATTTTTCTTCTCATTTCGTTTAACAATCCAACCAAAGTAGATACGATCGTAATTTTGCTCTGTCTAAATAAGACACTAAGTAAGAACTCGGTTTCTTTTTTTAAATGGACCCTACGCCTGCACTACTTGCATAACGAACGGCTCGATTAATATTAGCGTCCCGGCTCTACGAATTCGTTTGAGACTTTTCGTTACGTTCATTTGATTTTCATGCTCATTTGGCTTTCGTTATTATTTTAACTTTTCCATTCAGAGATAATACGAGACACATATAACAACTGTATACAGCGACGTTTCTTATATATATATATATATATTTATATATATAATTTTTTGTTTGTATGCAAGGAATACGTCTCGGTGAGAAGGGATCGTTGATACAATATCGGAGAAACGGTAGTAATTATCGAATCGTACTTCTTACATAAGGCAGCGGTTCCCAAACTTAGGGACGCGACACGAATAACGTTTTTTTTTTTAAAGAAATGTTCGTTTCCATCGTACCAGCCCGCTAAGGATGTATATGTAATTTTCGATACGTTCTCTTTTTCAACGTTTACGAGTTTCTCTAATTAACCTCATTCTTCCATTCATCGTAGAAAAAGTCGCACATGTTTTTTTTTTTTTTTGTTACTCTCATTAGCATCGCGTTTATCAAGCTTTACAAATATCGTTCAACTAACGATCGAGTACTAATGAAAAAGTCCGAGAAGTTTAGAAACCGTTGGATGAATATAAGACATAGTTTTAACATCGAACACTGTATAGTACCTACGCGAAAATCGAGAGATTGCGTCTCTATCTCACAAACATTGTACCTGGTTTTAAGTGTAAACACCGCAAAGTCGACGAAAAAAAAAAAAAAAAAGAAGAAAAACAGAAAGGAATAAGACGAAACGAAACCCAAACGAAGAGCGTGTCAGCTTGTAAACAATCGTACGATAAGGACTCCTTGGAAGGAGTTTTGTCGCGTGCAAACTAAGAGAACGAAACTAATCGAGGAGCCGACTACAGTACCGAACGCTCGCTATCGACGCCATCTTCTTCTTTCCCTTTTTAACCACAGGAAGACAAAGTTAATAAACATCTTAAGAACACAGAGATCGCGCGACCTTCTTTTCCTTCTTGATACGTTATTCTCTAATTAGGAGGGAGGGGGAAGGGGGATTTCTATGCATGCTACGATGGACAAATCGTATAACGTTGGAAACTCGAATGGGTTTTTCTTTTTCCCTCAACGACGTAATATTCTAACGAGAATATCTTTCATACAGAATCTCAACGGCAGTTGTGTTTCGTATTCTTGTAGCTAGGAGGTTTTTCTAATCGATCGTCGAGACAGTAGCACTTTCTCCAACAACCGAAACCGTTGTCTTGATTTTTTTAGAAAAGTTCTTTCCTAGAGAATTCTTTTCTCCTTATTCCAAACGAGATATTGGAAAATATTAGTCTGGTTATTCGCAGCCCCTCTGATACATGGCTAACAAACAGCAAGTGCGAATAATATAAGATTAGAAAAGTTTCTTCAATCAAACACGACAGCGAACGTTAATAACGAGAGAGGAAAGAGGAAATATGTCGATCTTCAACGGTTTCGCTATGCTACTGCGTCGAGGGCACGAATTTAATATTCACACGTAAATTGGTACACAGTAATTTCGGCGTCGGCACAACGCCGCCAAGAAGAGCATTATCAGGTTCGCCTAATACGCTTTAGTACGTCCGCGTCGCGGCTAACGACATTTGGCCACGCGTAATGGAAGTGATACGGAAAACAGCCCAACGCGTACTCTGTCGATAATTAATACCGACGGTCGGTTAAATACCGACAGCAAACGTATCCGAGAAATTCGGCTTCGCAAATTGTCGCGCCGTACGGTTTACACATTTACATATCTGGTTGTTTCGCAGACAGCAGCGTTCTGGAGAACCTTTATCTACCGAATTACGATCGCTGTCATTCTGGAACGCGGAATACAATTTGTTCGTTCGATACGCTCACGCTAGACAGTATTTATATTCGAGAGAATGAAAGTTTCACGTGAAAATGACAAGATTTTGTTTTCGTTGCCTGTTGCCGAAACAGTTTGCAGCGCGCTCCCTCGACGATTTTTCCAACTTACTGCTTACCCGACTTCTTGTTCGATCGTTCACCTGAAACAGACCAAAGTTTTCTGTTAGATTTATTTTTTTTTTTTTTTTTTTTTTTTTTTTAATGAAAATTCCGATTTCTACGTTTATTAAAATTATCTTTCTTTTTACGATTCGACGATCGCTACGAGATACAGAAACGCATTCTCCTTGGACGCGAGTTCTCCTATCCGTTCGGACGTTATACACGGCACATTTATTGCTTCTTTTGTCCGTGACCCCAAGGAGACGCTTCAATAACCTTATCTTTAACTCCGTCAATGCCATCGTCAAGCGTACTCGACGAGGTAAGGTGCCGTGACACTAGTGTCAATCTCGAGTACAACTAGAGTACAACAGACCACTGAGCCCCAGACAATGGGGTTGTTGGCGCGTCGTCCAATAAAATCTCGAGGAACGCCGTTTTTGCGTCGTTTCAACCGATGACGAATTACTTCCATTCGACCGCTATCCGTGAATCTAGAACTCCATTTTGATTCCCTTCTACGACACGGTGTGTGTACGTATTGATTTTACAGTTTGCATACATCATTAGGCGATTATAATAATTTCTGGTATTTCGCGCTCGTTAAAAACTAATCAAAGATGTAATGAAATAATTCATAACGAGGTTTTGACGATGTCACCGTCAACGAAGAAATTCTGAAAATATTTAGTTGGTACGTGATCCAGGGATGGGCAAAACCCTAGTCTTCGAATAAATGTCAAGTTTGTCGACGTGTTTGTCTCGTTTCTTTCTTTGGAAAATGTTCAAAAGAGGAAAGGAGATAGACAGATCGGCAGACTTCAGATTTATTCGAAACTTAGAGTTTTGCCCACCACTACCGCGTTATCCCTTCTTTACCTACCGAGTCGAAGCATCTGTAATCCTATCCTCTAGCGCGAGTTAAATACTTATAGGAGGTTTTAGATAAGGTTTCATTCGTTCTGGGTGAAAAAGAAAATTACTAGAAATACCTTTGGTGGTCTTCTTGGTGTTGGTCTCCGGTCTACACCTCTTGGTGAGTCGACGCGTCTTCTCGCAGCCAGCGTCGCTGTTCGCCTTCAAATTGTCCACTCTCGTCATCAGCTGATTCACGCATCCGCTCCACGTACCCTTTTCGTACCGGCAAGCTGTGCTCCCCGCCACGCAGAGTTAATCGTACCGCCATAAACTCCCATTTGCGTTCCAACCATCGTACAAGTTAACGCGACAACGGTGCATCTCGTGTTACGAAACAAGAACGCTAATTTCCTGACCAATCTTTTCAGACATCTGTGCCCTTTACATTCAATCATCTACTATTTATCCGCTATTTATATCTTTCCTTTCATCTAACTCTAGTTTAGGTGAAAATATTAGGTGATATTATTCAGGCGATCACGTTCATGACTGAAACCAGGACTTCTTACACTACGGGTCGCGTGATTTTAATGTAAAATATCGAACACTCTCTTTTATACATATACGTTCCCGAAGACGGTCGGCCATTTACAATTCAACTTCGTGACTCGAACGCGACAGCCGCGACGGAACTTCGCCGACGCATAAATCCGAAATATCCCCAAGCCGTCGCCGGATCGGAATTCTAGATGGCGCCGTTCGGACTCGAACCGAAAAGGGCAGAGCGATCAACCTGTCCCGTCCATTGAATTCAAAAGTCCCTCGGCCGAAAACGTTTCCGCGCGTTGAATAACGTGACCTGCGTTCGATGGCGCGACTCCAACGTGAGTTCTTTCCTTTTTTTTTTCTTTTATTTTCCGACCGCGACCATTTTCTTTCCTCCTTTTTTTTTCGGGTGCATTTCACGGCTTCCCGCGTGTAACTCGACGCCGAACAATAATTCCACTAGACCCGTGACCGTATGAGATGCGAGGCGGGAGAGGTGACGGGTGGAATTGAAAGAGTGAGTCACGGAAACCCTGTCGCCTGGTTGAATTTACGAAGCTGATTAGCGCCGAAACGAATGCACCGTTGTCCGAAATCACCGATAACTGGGACGCGACGTGTCGTTCTTCGAGCTCGTTTAATTAATTAAGACGTTCCACTAGGGGCGGGGAGAGGGGAAGGGAGGGAGGGAGTGGGGTGGGGTGGTGGTTCTCCTCGCTAATTAGCAGAGTCCATTAAGCCTCGTTCCATGCAAAGAACGCGGGAAACGTTCGATCGTGCCAGCACCCCCGGTAGATTAAACCGTATTAATTAGTCTCGCGAGCTGTTTGCGACCGATGGAAAATAAAAACGTGAACATTTGGATTATCGATACCGGACATGTTCGATTGATTTCGATTGGTGTTGGGGCGATGTGTCGCCGTTTCGTGAAATCCCGACGGGTCCGTTGGGCCGTGCATTGGACACGGATCGCGAAAGAAATACTTGTTCCGATTTTCAGGGACGACCGTGCTTGGATCGTTCGGAGTGTTTTCGCGGGGAAAAAAAGATTCATTCGTTATTTGTACATATTCTATCGGACGAGCGAAAAAATAGAGGCGATATAGCGCGTGCTCGGAGGTAGCATGTGTCGCGAAGCGAACCGACTGTGTTTTTACAAAGATATCGTCGAAGTTTACCATTTAAATTGTGTCGGGTCGCTTCGCGGAATGAATCGCTTTTTTACCCGCTTTTGTTGAATCGTAATGAAAGTCGCGCGGAAGGGAGAAAGGCTTCGCGGTGGGGTACGGAGACGTTGGGAGTGGTGGAGAGACCGCGTGGAGGGGGAAGAAGATGTCGCGAAAGGGGACAGAAAGCGTACGGGGGAACGGAACGACTGGAGGGGAGAAGAAGACGCCGGAGAGCGGAGAGAAATCACGTGGAGGGGGGAAGAGAACGCCTAGAGGGGAAATGGACCTCTTCGCAGGGGACAGAGACGACGCAGAGGAGGAAGAAATAGTTCGAGGGGAAGGTGAACGCGTAGAAGACGCGGAAGGGGAAAAGTGCGTTCTTCTTAAAAGCTACCACCGCGCGGTTGGTAAAAATTTGAACAATTTTTTATAATAAAAAGAAAAACGATTTGCTTACGCATGGTCTCGTTCGAACTATTCATCGAGTGAATTGCATTCAATCGTACGACTCGATTGTACTCCAATTGAGATTCAACCGATTCAAAAAATATTCCGATCATCTCGACACGATTACGATTTTTACACGATACGCGTTTCTTACGATTCCTGGGGATTCAAATTGTACGTTATTCGCTCTTCCGTATCGGGAAAGTGAAAATAATTATCTAACAAAGGAACCCCAAAGATATTCCTCCGTAGCGGATGTACGCGAATGGTAATGAAACAATGCTTGAAGATTTTTTTTCTTTTTTCTTTTTTTTTTTTTTTTTTAACCAAGGTATCGTATATCTGCGACAAGAGATCCACAGGAAACTTTCCAACGAACGAGTAATAATTTGTAGACCGATGGTACGTGTACCGCTCCATTGTCTCGCGTTCGTTATTCGTGTACTCGTCTGATTATACCGTTTAACGAACGAACCGTTACCGAGCCATCGAGGCACGGTTAAAAATCGCGACATTTCCCGGCCGTAACCAGCGGCATTTTCACCTCCGAATTATTAGCTTCGCTCGAAATACTTAGGAACGACGGTTCTGGACCCGAATACCGCGGAATGAAAGGAATACGGGGCATTCGACGCTGCATACCGGAACATTTAAAATCTTTACGCTTCGCGTGGAAACCGGAGCGGAGAGGTATCGGGAAACCGTGATTAAAAAAGAAAAAAGAAGAAAAATAAAAAAAAAAAAAAGAAGAAAGGTGGCACAAAGTCTCGTTACTACTATTTACCTTTCTTGCACTTCTTCTCGATGGTCTTTGTCGGCTCGCAGGACTTGTCGCCTTTCTTAAGGTTCAAGGTGCGGGACCGCGTGTTGGTTTTCGAGTCGCAATCCGACCATTGACCCTTCACGTATCTGCACGACGCGGGGCTGCCGGATGCTGCAACAGATGCGAAACGTCGATGGAGATACGGGTAAAGTGGCGTCTAATTTCGAGATCGATTCGTCGATTTACTTCTTTCATTCGAACGAATTTCTTTCGTAGAGATAGAAGATGATACTTATGATTGTAAATATTCGTCGAAGGTAACGTTTCTACGAACGTCAATTCTTATTTATCGTTCGTCAGCTCCTTGACTTTCAACGATCTGGCGTTAAACATTGGCGCACTAGATAGCATAATGCTGTTGACGACGACAGCGATTACGTAATTGATTAAGAACAGAAACTTATTAAGAATTCGTTTCACTTCGATGTAAAGAAAACGACATTACTTTTCGGTTTCTCTAATACATACTTCGATCGTAGATAATCTAAGCGTAACCACGTTGAAAATTCGGGCGTCGTGATTCGTACGCGATATTCGAAAGCTGAAATTTTCGGGTGGAGGTATCGGTGAAAGGGTGGCGAAAGAAAAGCGTCGGTTTCGTCCGTGGCCCGAAACCCCGAATAAATTTCCGAGAGAGGCGAATGATCTTAGCCGACAATGAGACACGTCGCGCGTCGCTGGCTGGATATTTCAATTGTATTCGCGATCCTGGCCGCGGGAGAGAAAATCCCGAGAGATTAGAAAGAGCCGCGACGAAACAAAAGCGCTTTTTCATACGTCTATACGACCCGAGGGGACCGACGTGATCGCGAAACGATGCTTCAATTCCCTGCCGTTACCGCTCGACGTCGCGCGGTGCTCGAAATCTAGACCAAAGTCGAATTTTCGATTCTCACGAATGTTCCGACGTCGTTTCTTTAGCTCACGGGTGGAAAAAATTAATATCATATTCGGGTTCAGCGTCCCCAAAAACCTCGAAGACGATTCCAATGACGCACGAGCGACCCAGTAATAATTATAAGGGTAGTTCTTAGAGTTACCCTTTGGGGGGGGGGGGGGGGTAGCTCTAGAGACTGAAATAAAGGCCTAAGCTTCGATAATTAATTTTGAGAGTGTCGCGAAAGGTATAGGATTTCTTTTTACAGAGAGTTTGTTTAACACATATCGAAGTACGAACAAAAATTGTTGTCTTGTAATTTTAGTACGAAATGGCGGCGCCGATGGGAGTCGCCAAAATTAATTTTTTTTTAAACGACCTCATGGGAGAACGGTTTTTTCGCCGTGCACAACATTCGGAACAAACTACCGATAAATTTTATAACATATACACCGTTGGCTGTAGAAGCACGTAGCAGTCTTTTTGTTTAATGTGCACTTTCGTGTTTATTAACGATTTACTGTTTATTTTTTGACCGAAAAATCGGTTAGTGTGCTGTTTCTGCAATATTTGATTTAAAAAAGAAAACTCCGTACTTCTATAGCCGACAATATATAGATTATAAAATTGTTCGGTTGTTTGTTCCGGATTTTAAAAAGAGTAAATTTCGAAGACTCGCTTTGTCGTTTTATACTAAAATTCTAAAACAACAATTTTTGTTCGTACTTCGATATGTGTTAAAAACAAAAACCTCCTTTAAAAAGAAATCCCGTTCCTTTTGCGACACTCTCAAAATTAATTATCAAAGCTCAGGCCTTTTTTTCGGTCTCTATAGTGGTGTTACCCTCAAGAAAAATTCTTTTTATTCTTCATTGGTGCGTGTATATACCGTATATTAAGATATGAATTTGTACAAATATCCGTAGTCCAACTATCACGAAAATTCCGCGATCCGTTGGGAACCAAGTTTGCACCGAGGAAGGGATTTACTGTCGGTAACCGATTGGAATTAGAACCGAGCGTTCTCCGGTAGCGTACCACCCTTTGAAGCGTTTGCATCATTTAACAGTCAAAGTGCATCGTGTCCGAGAAGACCCGGTCGGTGAATTAACGCCGGCGATATAACTTTCAATGAATTCTTACCGCGAGCTCCCCAGAGCGTCCTCAACGAGGAAAAAAAATTCTAGGTACGGCGCCGTTAAGACACCCTCGTATAAATCATCGAAAGTTTCATAATTGGCTGTTACTTTGTTAAAAAATGTAACGGGTCGGCTACTCTCATCGTTCTTCGTTTCGTTCACCGGCTGCCGAAAGTCCGCGAAGCTACGATAATTAAATCGCTGGGGAATATTCGGCCGGCGTTGTTAAAAATGAACGTGGGAGGACGTTTCCTTTATAAGTGGCGCGTTTATGTAGCGTTTGTTGAACGATCAAACGCGATACGTATCGCGAGCGTTAATGAAAAGTGTGCTTTACGATCGACAATAATGGAAGGTTACGGGCCGGTTGGGTGTTGCGTTATTATACGGAATTAAATTTTACGTTTTAAAAAATGCGATATTAATTTTACGGGGCGTCCAGAGTATGGGATTACGTGTCGAGCAATTTCCAATAAAATTGGATCGTAATTGGTTGTAGAATGAGCCTTCGGCAATGTAACACGTATTGTTGCTCGCTATTCTCGTTATATCTTTATGAAAGTGTTACGAATAGATCGCCGAAGTTGCGCCGAGAAAAACGAGTCCAAACACGGCTATGTTCGAACCACTTTGAATCATGCGTGAAAAAAGCGTAATGAAAGTTATGCGAATAACGTATAATTTAAAAGTAGTCCGAACCGGGTCGTGTTTGGGCTCGTTTTCATCGGCAGAACTTCGCCGATCCGTCGAAGATATTCTCGCGAAGATTGCGAAAGATAAAAATCCAAAGATTATTGTAAACGAACCATTGGAAGATTTAAATTAAAGAGATCGACGAATAAGGGCCCATCGAGTCGATGGTTCGTTAGTTTCGCAGTTGTATCCGTCTTTGACATCGAGACAGATTTTTAATTAAGCTTGATTATCCGATACCTCGTTCTTTGGTGCCGCGAACGGTTCGCACGAGAACCTCCTTGTCGTCCTCCTCCCAAAGGTCGGACTCCGCCTTGGCGTTGACGACGATCATCAACAGGGTGACACCCACCAGCGTCAAACTCCACCACAGCTTCATTCTGCAGAAAGAAAGAAGAGAAAACGTTCTCGTTAATCTTCGCCCTATAATTACCGTCGTTTTAATGGTTACACGTCGCGACGCCGAGGACACGGTCGGATGGGCTCGAACAACGTGCGAAAAGAAAGCGTGTCTACACGGAACCGTCGTTTCCTCGTATCGGCTTCGACATTTACCTTTTCGCGACACACGATACGAGCAATATCACGCGAGACACGATACGAGCAGTGATCTTCGGTGATTTACGAACGAAAGGGATTTGTAATTTAGGATACAGAATATATAATTGTTGTAAATAGACTGCGGATCTTTATGCAAAATAAAATCTTCGCGAAATTGAACTAAATTGAATCGAAGAAAAATTGAACCTAATTAGGAATTTATTTTATTTTGCAAATGTTATAATATGAACTTTTTATTATCGATCTTTTTTATATTCTTGCAGATTGTTTGCATTCTGTAGTTTCTTGCACGTTCGAATTTTCTATAGATGCATAAAGATCCGCAGTCTAGTTATAGACTATGAAACGAGCCTAACCGGGATCTCTCATTCAAATCGCGCTGCGAGTTTGAAAATGTCCAGAGAACTGCTTCAAAGATCTCTTTCTATTAATTGTTGGCTAATTGAAACGAAGACCGGTTAAATAACCCACCCGGGAATACTCTAGCTTGGAAACCGTACAAATGAAAATTTACCGCGTCTCTACCACCCTCCCCAACCCCCTACAGGAATATTAAATATCTACTCGCGGAACGGTTGTAATGCAGATGTATGTGTACCGGTTAAATCGTCATGTTAATTAATAGGGAAGTGCGGGGGCGAGAAAATTATACAGAAAGCAATTCGTCCGCCCTTCCATGAGAGGAAACCGTTCGTTTGTCTCTTACGCTGCCGCAATTACTGGAATTTTTTCCAGTTGCGTCGACGATTTCGATTTCGACGATCGATCCCGATGTAACAATCATACGCATTTATCTCGTTACGCGGAACATACATAATTCTACTCTACTCTAATTCTACTATACTCGAATTCTACTATACTCGAATTCTACTATACTCGAATTCTACTATACTCGAATTCTACTATACTCGAATTCTACTATACTCGAATTCTACTCTACTCTAATTCTACTCTACTCTAATTCTACTCTACTCGAATTCTACTCTACTCGAATTCTACTCTACTCGAATTCTACTCTACTCGAATTCTACTCTACTCGAATTCTACTCTACTCGAATTCTACTATACTCGAATTCTACTCTACTCTAATTCTACTCTACTCTAATTCTACTCTACTCTAATTCTACTCTACTCTAATTCTACTCTACTCTAATTCTACTCTACCGTCTAATCGATCGAACTTGTTCAGACAGTAAACTCAGTTTGTAACGACTCTGTAAGTAGAATCTGGATTTATTGTAAATGTGATATCCATAGCTTTTGGAATATATAAAGTTTTTGTAAGCAGATTGTGATATTTTCATTAACTCTGAGACGAAAATGAATGATTCGATGGACGAAACGAACTTGTATATGTCACGCTGACTTTGCGAATCGTTTTGCAGGTTGTGGTGAAGGAAGTAGCGAGTACAGGCTCGGTAACATATTTTTAAAGAAATTTTACGCGGATTTAATATCATTTTTCTTAAAATACCGTAGCCTATGTTGCTCCAGAGAAAGCAAGAAAGCTACTATTAGAGTTTGCTATGAATCCCATTAAGTAGTTTTTCAAATTTTTGTGAGCATCCAAACAAACGCTGTCCCTTAATGTAACAGCAAGATCGTAAAGTTTACCTCGGACGGGAACGGAATTAATTTCCACGCCCGGCGAGAATACATTCCAGCGGTAATTAGTAACCGTAAATGTAACGCGGCGAACGCGAAATAAACGGGTTTATGCAGAAGCTCGATGGTCTCGGTGATCCATCATGATTTCGAAAAATTAAGTCGAGCCCAGCTGCGTGTAACATTCGCGTCCGAGCGAACGGGTACATTGAATTAATGAAACCGCGCAGCCTACGGAGGATAATTGAAAGAATCTCTTAATTCAACGGCTCGGCGAAGGTAAATACATTAGCGAGCGAACGAGGTAAAGCCCCAACAAGTAACACCGCCGACGAAACCCGTTGGAAAACAATGAAATAAAGGAAACGTGTTCCTTTCTCCAGTACTGCGTGAGAATCGCTCCGGGTAAACGAACGTTGGTCGTTCCAGGAAAAATTGAATATTTCCCGGGAATTAAACACTAAGTGTCGTTTAATTTCCTCGAGAGAGTGATTATCGATTCGTTCGCCTAACGACACCGGAGACTCGTGGACGATACTTGTAGACGGAAGAGTACAAGTCGGCGGGTGGAAGCTATGTAAATTTGTATCGTTTCGCGTCGCGGAGTTAATACGAAACCGTTTCAGCCGATGTCGCTCTGCCCGAGGGAACGTCCCATGAAAATTCATAATTCGAACCGTAGCGTAATTGCCAAAATCTCGAATCAGAGAGTCCAGTTTTCGGTTGACGCGATCACGTTTGGTTGTACTCGTTTCGTAATTGTGGATCACAATCACAAAGATTTCCGTGTGAGATCAATTGAAAAAATTACCAAGGCCACCTTACGGCATACCTGAACATTTCTCAAGGTTTAAAAAAAAAAATGAAGTAAATTCTTTACTATAAAAATATATATATATATATATATATATATTAATGAAAGACCCAAAGAATGAACAAAAAAATATATATTAATGAAAGACCCAAAGAATGAAAAAAAATATATATATATTAATGAAAGACCCAAAGAATGAAAAAAAATACATATATTACTCAGAACCGCCCCGAAATATTTTATTTATTTATTACGAATTTATAGTTTTTTTTAGAATTTAATTTTAGAAAATTACAGTTTTAGAAGATTACAGTTTCTCGCGAATAAAGATGTTTTGTTCTATCGCGGAAACGCGGAAAGGATGGCCAAGGGAGCCGACGACGTACCGGGAACGAGGTCGCTGCTCCGAACGGACGGAAAAGACGGCGATGATTTTTTAATGCCCGCGGGAAAGCTCGTCCCCGTCGATCGTATCATAAGCTCGTTTCGACGAAAGGGACGTTAATTAATCTCGCGTAGCGGCTGTTCATAGCGACGAAACTAGCTTACAACTTTTTTCATTTATAATTAAACCGGTTCCGCTCTCGTTCGTTTCTCGAGTTCGGGGGCATTTACATCGTACTTCGCTCCGAATCTTGATAAGCTCGAGGGAGACGGTCAAGTTTTCCATTTCCGAGGACTTCGTTAATATTTATGACGCGGGGTTGGGGAGGATAACATGATCGTTCGGGTACGTAGACAATCTTCGTCTTCTTGTCGAACGTTAATTATCGTAACAGTGGCGCGATTCTTTCAGAAATTCCTCTCTCTCGACTCTGTGAAGAAACGGATTTCGGTGAGACGACAGTCTGAGGGAAGATACTAATTTTTTTTTTTTTTGTAGACGATTTAAAATTAATATTGTTCGTTTGTTTTTGAGTTTATAACGCTTAAAAACTTGGAAAGCTACTGATACATGACTATTCCCTTCCCCTTTATTTACTATTGCACTGTGTTATTCCTTATTTCCTCGCCTCTAGGTTTTTCCCATACTTTATATTCCATACTTGATTTGTTAGCCAACCCTAATCTAACCATGAAAAAACCTGAGCTGTCCCTTAAAACGTCCCTTAAAATTAATCGACAGCTGTTCAGGTTATTTTTCTCGAGTATCTATCCAACATATTTTGATTATTGTTTGAATCGTACCGATCGCAGGACGTTTATCAAAAGGGACACGCGTATCAAAAAAATGTACAGATTTAAGATGAATACGGTACCACGTTTGTCATACTCAGACTCTGAACGTTTTTTAAGAGGGAATAATAAAATGTCCCGGCCTGTGTATATCGCGCACGCCGTGCATCCGCCGCTCGCGACACGAGACAAATGATGCAGCCCGAGAGACTGTACTCGAAGAGGGATTGCTTCGAGGACCGAAGAAAAATTACTCGTTCGCGTTGCGTTGCATCGCACGCGGGAACTTCGTATCAGCATTTCCGCGAGGATTCCTTAAAAAAGTAATCTCGTGAAATGAAAATCGATGAAGCAGATGTTAGATGAAATTAAGCAGGGGAAAATGAACGCAACAGAAACGGTTCGTTTATCGATTTCAGTGATTTGCGTTTAATAGGAGAAAACTTATTCGTCGGAGCTACTGAGAAACAACGACGCACTCGCGACGACTAGCATCGCACGGTAGCGAGATGAGGAAATTCGTGTATCCTATCGCTTTAAATAAAATATTCGGCATGCAAATACAAATGTAATTCGCAACGCGGAACTGTAATTTTCGAGGAAACTTCGTTTCCACGAGTCTCTCAACCGCTCTGGAAAGTAGGAATCGTCCAAATTTCCTTGTCGGTCGTAATAAATGACTCCTATTGTTGTTACAAATCGCTACTGTCGCGAACAGTAATAACGGATCGCTGAGGGAGCAGAATCTGGCGAAATTCGCCGCGAATTAGGCACCCGTGAGAACTCGGTTGGACATATATAATATATATGTATATATATATATATATATATATATATATATATATATATATATATA